TTGCTAAGCTTGTTCTAAGTAGGTGCTTTAGACCACTGAGCCATCTCACCAGCCCTTTTTTAATTTTATTTATTTGAGTGTGTGTGTGTGTGGCCAGCTCAGCCCACCAGGGGGCGGGGCTGGCTGGCCATGTGGTGCTGGGGGATTGAACTGTGGTCCCTGTGCTTTGCTAAGCTTGTTCCAAGTAGGTGCTTTAGACCACTGAGCCATCTCACCAGCCCGCACCCCCCCCCTTATTTTTATTTATTTATTTATTTTTGCGCCGAATGCTTTCAAGGCATGACTGGCTGTCTTGTGTTGTGGGGATCGAATCACAGCAACCAGAGCCTGACTGCTTTGTTGAAGCAGCCAGTTAAAGAACTGAGCTAAGGGGCAGCCCCCCCCCCCTTATTTTTTAACTGAGAATCAAACTCATGACTTCACACTTGCCCAGCAGGCACTGTGCTGCTGAGCTATATCCCTGGCCCACTACTCCCTCTTCTCTCAGAAAACCATCGGTCCCTTGATCACTGGCTTTTCTTTCTTTTTTTTGGTTTGGCTGTGCCTTTTTTCTCAGACAGGGCTGTTACAGTCAAAGTCAAATGGAGCTTTCACTTTTCGAGATCTGGAGACAGAAATGGCACTGAGAGCTCAGGTGCATGCGGTAAGGGCGAACGACCCAGTCCAAGCAACCTTGAGAGAATTCAGCCCCACCGTGTGCGGGAATCCTTTGTTCCCAGCAACCCCACACCGACCAAAGATTAAGGAGCGTTTTCAGACAATCCTGAAGTGACTGTCTCACTACATATACAGTGACACAGGGTCTCACTGTGTATGCAGCGAGACAGTCCTTGTATAGGCATCCCCTGTACAAGAGTCCTACTGGTCCACCAACTGGACAGCAGACTGGGATAGAAGACCCTTCCAAGTGTGCATCCTTGAAGGTTAAGCACTAAGCCCTACAATTACTCTAAATTCTCACCTATTAATTGGGAAGAAGATGAGAGCCTCTGTCTTCTTAGATGGCTTACAAGAGGCCTTGTTAAAGTGTGTCTTTTGGGGGGTGGGGACTGAGCGTCACACTGGAGATCTTGCGCTTGCCAGGCAGCTGCTTGCCACTGTCCCCCTGGGCCTGTGTCTGTTCTGATGTAGCGGAGGAGCATGCTACTATTCTCTGCTTGAGACAGGGCTTCACTATGAAGGTCAGGCTGGCCTTGAACTCACCATATATTCCAGGCAGTCCTCCTGCCTCAGCCTGCCAAGTGCTGGGATGACAGGCACGTGCCACCATACCTGGCCTAGACAGATTAGTTATACACAAACATCACCCAATCAACCTCAGACATCTGGGGAAGCTGCTAACGATGGCCCTTACTCTGGATCTCTCTCTGATACTCCAGTGAGAGCGGGTGCCTCACCAAGATGGAGGGGAGGGCACAGGAAGAACAGACCAAGAGAAAGCTGCTGCCCCGGTTGCAGCCTTAAAAGGAGGCAACTCCAGGTCTGGGACTCTAAGGACAGCTCAATGCCTAATCCCACTTCCAGGGCTGTGGGAGGCCAGAACATTTCAGGAGGGACTATGACAGGAGCCGGCATGACAAGGGGCACCCTGACCCCTGCTATGTGCAGTGGTAACCACTGGACATCAGACTGCCCCTAAAGACAAAGGTCCCTGGACCAGACCCACCCTCCAGGGGGTCACCAAGGATGAAGGGCCCAGGCACTCCTCACCCTCTCCTGCCGACCATACTGTGCTCTCCAGAGCCATGGGGAGTCACAACTACCAAGCGGAGAGACTCGCCTGTGTTGGACGCTGCTGCCAGCCTTTTTGGTCCTTCTCAACCCCTGCCTTCCTTCTGGCCATCGGAGCTCAGGTGAGTCACTGGGGAGGTGGTCTGCTATTGCTCACAACCCTTCGGTGGTAACTGGGAAGGCTTTCTCTTCTCCCACTCCTTTACTGTACCTGAGTCCAGTTCTCCTGGGGAGACGGATCTTGTTTTGAGTACTGTAATACATATGCCCCAGGTCAGGTGCACTGGCTCCCTCTAGTGGAGACCAAAAGAAATCCTAAAATGGCCGGAGAATAAAACTGGAGAACAGTTATGAGCCTGCGCAGTGCAAATAATCTTTTTTTTTTTTTTTTTTTTTTTTTGCAGAACCAGGGATTGAACTGAGGCCCTTGCGCATGCCTGGCATGCACTCATTCTACCGAGCCATCTCCCTGGCCCCAGAGATAGATGTGTCCATACCTCACAAAGCTCTTCTTTCTTTCTTTCTTTCTTTCTTTCTTTCTTTCTTTCTTTCTTTCATACCAGGGATCAAACTCAGAACCTTGCACTTGCCAGGCAGGCACTTAAGCTGCTGAGCCATCTCCCCAGCCCAGCATCATTATTTAAGACCCCTTCTGCCAGTCTTTATGACACCACTGTAGAAAACTCACTCTGGAGCCTAGGAGACAGCCTGGTGGCCTAAATGTTTGCCTGGCAAGCATAAGGACCAGGGTTCAATCCCTGGTACCACATACCAAGCTTACTCTGAACCCCGGGCATGCCATGCCAGCCACCGCTGAGTCTGAGCTGCACGGTGAGACCCTGTACCAAGTACATAAATAAATAAAACATTAAAAAAATAGGGGCCAGCCAGATAGCTCAGCAGATTAAAGTGCCTGCAAGTAGGCGCAGGGCCAGAGAATCCCCGAGCCTGCCATGCTGGCCTCACCCACAGGGCAAGCAGAGACAGCAACTGAGACTGGGGGTGGTGGCGTGCACCTGTAATCCCAGCTCTTGGGAGGCTGTAAACAGGCAGATCACCGAGTCTGATCTAGTAGTGAGCCCCTGAACACCCTGTAGACCCTTCCCTAAAATATACAAAAATAAAAATAAAAAACAAATAAATAAAATTAAAAAATAAATCCACCTTGCTTCTTTAAAAAAAAAAAAAACCCTAGCGTGAAAGCTCAGTGCACTTGTCTGGCCTTTCTCTGTGCACACAGGACAGGAGATGAATCCAGGACTGTGCACCACTTCGCACCTGCTCTGCGCTGGCTACACCCCGCCTGCGTGCTCACTTCGGATCCCACACCTTCCTGCACTTCTGGGTACTGGCCACTTCTGGTGTTGCCGGTGGGCTTCTCTCCACGTAGGATCGCGCTGTCAGCACGCAGAGGGCCTCCTTTCCCGCGTGGAGAGCTTTTGTTACTTCCTCTTGAACAACTGCTCCTGGCGAGGCCCCACTACTGTAGACCAGCAGTCACATGAGGGGCATCACTCTTTCCTGACCTTCCAGGAAGACCTCTGGCGTGTCACTGCCTTGGAAATCTCACTTTTTGAGATCTACTTCTTGTTTTGAGACAGTGTCTTGCTATGTCATTCAGGGTGGCCTTGAACTCATTTTGTAGCCCAGGCTACTCTTGGAACTCCCAGTGACACTCCTGCCTCTAGCTCCCGCACTGGGACTACACGCATGTGCCACCACACCCCGGCTGACTCAGGAATTTTGAACTCTTAAGAAATCCTTGCCGTGTGATGGAGCAGTAATCCTTTCTTCCTGCATCCATGCAGGCAGCATCAATGCCAAGGCACAGAGCTGAGCTGGCTCTTCCAATGCGCGTTCCTGGCCTCCTTCTTAGACCTAAGGAGGCTGGCTCCACTGTCCCTGCTCCGGGGCCTCCAAGGTGCCAGCCCCTCATGGCACCAATGCCCATTGCAAAGAACATAGGATTTATTAAAGACGACTCAGCATCCACAGCACTTGATTCTGAGAACAAAACAGACCGGAAATGACAGCTGACACATTCTGACCCTCTGCACTGAAATCTGTGACCTCGTGAGCTCAGGCTGTGGTATCTAGGGCAGTGTCCCATGCAGAAGGCCCAGGCCCTGACCACTGCCACCTCCCCAGGAGGAACTGACCAGGCCAGGCCCTTGCCCGGACTGTACCCCAAGGGGCTCGTGCAGCCTGGGTCCCTGTGATCTTGACCTTCATCTCAAGGACGTGGACAACACACTGGACACTATGCTCTCATGAAAATCAGATGTCGTGGTTCCAGTAGCATGTTCCCAGGCAGGCAGCCAGGGCCAGGCCCGAGGGAACTCGGGTGTCCTGGGCAGTGGCTTCTGGGTCCTGTTGGTGGCCCATGCTTCAGGCTGTGGAGGGGCAACCTGGGGTTGAGCCACTAGCTGACGAGTTCTGGGGAAGACTGGCTCACAGGACTGTCTCCATCCAGTCCCCAGCTCTCTGGTCTCTCTTGCACTAGCTCCAGTAGAGCTCCCAGCCTTCCTGGCCAGGACCCACTGGAAAACCAGGTCCGAGGGGAAGAGGAAGGGAAGATGTCCCAGCTGAGCTTGCGAAGTGGACAGACCATGTCTGCAACTCCTTTCTCCGTTCTCTGCCATCTTCCCAGCCCCAAAGCACTTGTCAATCTTCAATAAATAGGCAAGGGTCTGAATAAATAGCAAAAGCCTCCCAAATCATGGGTTGGGAGAAGAGGTGGCGAGGAGCGAAGTGCAGTCCTGCAGGTCCCAGAAGAGCTTCACCCGGCAGCTCCCAGGCCACAGGACTGCAGGCCGGGCTCCCCTGGGCCAGTCTAGGAGGCTCAGAACCCCACCCCCAGCCTGCTCAGGCGGCCCCACCTCAACACTGCAGGGCCCGAGCTGATGACCAGACAATTCCTGCACCTGTGGCTGCAGCTACCGGCAGTGGGCGCAGGGGACACCAAGACCCAGACAGGCTCTTCTGGTGCCAAGATGCAGGTTGCAAGCTCTGCTCCACCTGGGCCGAGGCTTTCTGGACCCAGGTGACCTGTATGGAATTAGGTGGACTACAACTCTTGGAAGCACCTAACACATGCTGTCCTTTGTTTTCGAGGCAAGGGGGCTCTGGGAGCCTCCAGGGAATCCACCCTCATCTTCCTCTCACAGCAAGGACAGGACACAGGTGAGGTGCACAGCTTCCTGGGCCCCCAGGCCTCAGCAGACCTGGAATTCCAATCCCCACCAGGGAGGGTCCAGCACCCGCCAGCAAGCACTGTGGAGCCCTTCCCAGGTGCAGCCCCGGAATCTTGCCGAGCCGCACCCCTCATCCTGCCTCTGGGCTTCATGGGCAGGGAGGGGGCAGGCAGGAAGAGGCTCCGGATAAGGCACCCCAGAGAGAAAGGCAGAGGGGAGCAATGAGGGGTAGGCAATCTCAGACACCCCAAGAGGCAGAGGGGGACGAGCAGAGGTAGAGACAGACAAGGGGAACCTGGGCCCTGGAGGGACCCAAGACACCGTTGCCCCACCCAAGCGCCCTGGGACACATGGTAATGGACTCAGGGCCACACGCTCCCCAGTGACACATGTGCTTGGTGGGAGGCAGAGGGTGGGACCTGGGCCTGGCAGTCACTCAGCTGCTTTGGTGTCACTCCCCAAGGAGAAGCCTGAGCACCAACCCCCAGAATGTGCCAGGGACCCCCTGACCAGCAACCAGGCAAAGACCGGAAGCAGGGATGGAGGAGGAAGGAGGCAGTGCAGAGCGGGAAGAGCCCTTGCCAGCCTCCTTCCACCAAAACAGCCCCCGCCCTGCTTGACAGCCTCTTCAGAGGGTCCAGGGCTTGGTGGCTGAAGGAGACAGCACAGTGCCCAGAAGGCACAACCCGAGTGGCTGGAGCCACGTGGGCCTGGAGTGGCCGCCCCTGCAGCAGCCCCAAGAGCCAGCGATGCCCGGACCCAGGACCCAGGGTCTCCCACTCGTCTACTGCCACCAGGCTACTTGCAGTCCTGCAGCTCCGTGGCCTTCTGCAGGATCAGGCAGACGTCCGTGATGGGGTAGTCCTGGCGGGAGAGCCAGCGATGTGCCCGGCAGCTGGGCACCGCCACCTCTGCCGTTTTCCTTCCCTCCACGTTGGGACCTGTCACTACACTGCAGTCCCCTCACCCCATGCACACTGCCCACACCCACTGAACCAGCCCAAACGTGACAGCCAGAAGGGTCTGACAAGCTTCGCTGGCCCAGGCCCATCTGCCTTCTCTCCCGAGTCCCCCTCGCCTGCAGCTGCCTGATGCCGGGCTGGGCTGTGTGCCTGAGCACCGCGTGCCCTCTGCAGTCCTGCGAAGGGCTGCTGGGTGGCACCTGCTTCAGAGACTGAGCTCACTATGTCGCTGAGCAGCGGCCCTCGCCAGGCACCAGGGAAGAAACTGAATGAAGCGCCAGGGGACCTCGGACCCAAGCTCCTCCTAACCACCGGGCTCTGCCCTGAGTCTGAGAGCCGAGCCTGACCTTGGTCTTGGCTCCACTATACCTTGTGAAGCTGACTTACAGTGTGCAGCAGAGCCCAAGCCCTTAGCTCGAGGCCACAGGACACTCGGGGCCAGCAGCCAGGAGTGGGGGCCAGGCTCCACTGAGCACTCTCACCTGCAGGAGCCGCATGTTGACCGTGAAGTCCCCTTGCAGCAACTGCTCCCGGATCAGGCTGCGGGAAATGTGCAGCTGAGGTGCAGGGCTCCGGGCTGCTTCACGCAGCCAGCCAGGCCCCTCCCGCTTGTCCTGGCCCCAGGATTGGGTGCTCCCTCAAATTCCAGACCCACCCTTGGCCACCAGGCAGTAGCCCCTGCCTACCAGCAGGCCCCGCCGGGTCACTCACATGAGCATGGCGCAGCACACAAGGAGCAGAAAGTCAAAGCGGCTATCATCCGCGAAGAGCGAGTCCCAGATGCGGATGACGTCTGGCAGCAAGAACTCCTGGGACAGCAGCAGCGTGAGCCAGCGGAAAGCAAAGAACTGGGGCCTGATGTTCTGCTCTTGCTGGTGAGACAGAGGGGTTCCAGCCAGGCTTGAGTGTCAGGGACAGCAAGAAGGCCAGGGACACAAAGAGGGTAGCACCAAGCAACCCAGAAAGCCTCGCTCTCTTAAAGGGCCACTGCGTCTGATTTTCCAGAGAAGCCAGGAATCTGGACTGCGCTGAGTGCTCCAGATTTGGACACGATGCCTCCAGTTCTTTAAGACATCATGCAGGGGCTGGGGAGATAGCTCAGTGGAATAATAGCTTCCCTGGCAAGTGCAAGGGCCTGAGTTCAATCCCCGGTTTCGCAAAAATAAATAAATAAAAAATTAAAAATTAAAAAAAAGACATCATGCAGCTTACGACCTCTACAGAAGCACACCGTGGCTGCCACTGGCAAGTCCAAAGTGTCCCTCGCTTTTCTTACCAATGAATGACCCTCAGCGTCCCTGTGCCCAACAGAGGTGACCATCACTAACTGAAGAGACCATACCAAAACACAGCAAATGGCACAGTGCCACTTGTCAAAGATCCGTTTCTACTTTCTTTCTCACTGCGCTGTTTCTGCTTCTATGTCAATATAGATCTTTTACTGATTAGCCTTCTGAAATAAATACAGACTGCCAACACAAGAATCTTAAAAAATGAAGTTACTAGTGGGCCGGGGAGACGGCTCAGTAGAATAAGTGCTTCCCTGGCAAGCGCAAGGGCCTGAGTTCAATTCCTGGTTCCGCAAAAAAAAAAAAAATGAAGTTCCTGGTCTGCTGAGACAGTCTCACTACGCAATCCACGCGCGCACGGAACTCGCGGCTAGTGTCGGGGGTGGGCGTCGGTCCTCACCAATTTCAGGTAGAGCTCCACGTCCCTCTCCTTCAGGGTGGAGTACACCTTCTCCATCTTGTAGGTGATGCCGCACTGCGAGTCGTCCAGGCTCTTGATGAAGTTGTCCCGGATCTCGGCCATGAGGTTGGTGAAACAGAAGAAAGTGTCTGCCTCGGCGTGCTCTGGAAGAGACCAGGGTGTGCTAAGTGTCACTGCCCAGCCAACTTGGGACCCTTCCCCATGCCTCCCCAAGCCCACCCTCGTGGCTCGGCTCACCCCCCCAACTGTCCACCCACCGTCTACCCCAGACTAAGAACCAGAGCGCTTTCCACTCTGAAAGGCAGCTCTCTCCCTCAGTAATGGATCATGTGTTTCCAAGGAGACTTTCTTTTTGATACTGGCAATCGATCTCAGGAGCTTGCGTTTGCCAGGTGCTATGTCACGAGCTATGTTCCCAGCCCCCAAGATAACATTTTCAAATTGATTTTTTTTTTTTTTTTTTGAGAGAGGGTCTCACTAGGCAGTTTAGTGAGAACTGAAGCGCACTATGTAGTCTAGGCTACCCTGAACTCCCAGCGATCCTCTGGCCTCAGCCTCTTGGGTGCTGGGATTACAGGCGTGAGCTACCACGTCCGGCTCAGACTGACACTGAGATCGGATCTCAGGCTCCTATACCCCCATCTCGGCCCTTCTACCAGAAATCAGGCAACACCAACATCAGCGCCCTAGAAGGCAGAGCTGGAGGGCTGAGACCTCTCTCTAGGGAGACCAGCCACCTTTCCACTCGCTGTTGGGGTCGGTGGCAAATGTGTAGTACAGGGGCCCCACGATCTCGTTCATGCCCTGCACATAAGCGATGCCAGGGTTGAGCTTGGCGTAGATGAACAGGATCCGCTCCACCACCTCCCAGTGGGCCTCACAGCCATTGGGCAGCACCTCATACTCGTTCAGGGCCGGTGACGAGGCGTTCTTCTGTGGGGAGCTCATCTGGGGAAAGGCAGAACCGTCAAGACAGGGCTGGCCCGGGGGAAGGCAGGGCACAGGGGAATGCGTCAACACCACCAGGAAAGTAAGTGCACTTTCTGTGAGAGATGGTTGCCAGCAGGGTGGTGGGTGCCTGTGCGGACGGGTGCTGACGGGGTGGAAGGGGATTTCGGACGATGACATGTTCCGGATGTTGACTCTTATAAAAAAATTTAGTACATTTTGCTTCATATTGTTACACCTAAATTTACAATAAAAACTTTAGGTTCACACCCACCAAGACGCTTCAAAAGGTGGCGGAGTATGGCACTGCATGCCAGTAACCCCAGAACTCAGGAGGAGGCTGAGGCAGGAGGAACCCTGCAAATTCAAGGCCAGCCTGAACTACCTAGCAAGACGCATCCCCAAAAGCAACTGTCGGGGGTGAGTGGAGACCTTTTTCACATCAAAAAACTAAAGAAACAACAACTAAAATCCTTGCCTGGATCTTAGTGTGTGCTTTTTTTTTTTTTTTTTTCTTTTCTTTTTTTCTTTAAAAAAAGGGTAATAAATGAAAAAAAGACATAAAAAAAAGAAAAAAATTGATCTTAGTTTGGAATTTTAAAAATGTACTATTTTGGGGAGTTTGGGGGGTTTACTGGGAACTGAACTTCATACTTGTAATTAGACTTGACACCACGCTATATCCCCAATCCTTGCCTTATTTTTTAATTTTGAAACAGGGTCCTGCTAAGTGCCCAGGTTGGGCTCAAACTTACGATCCTCCCGCCTCAGCCTCCCAGAGCACTAGAACTACAGTGTGCACTACCATGCCCTGTTTTCTCTAAGACAGAGTTGTACCATGTAGCCCAGATGGGTCTCAAACTCCTCAACAATCCTCCTGCCTCAGCCTCCAGAGTAGTGAGACAGATACGTGCCGCCGTGCCCAGCTGGTAAACACTACGCCTGGCCTAGAAGTGGACATCGCAGCTGGTGCCACCTATGCGCTAGGTACTGGGTGATGCCTAGGACTGCCTCCAGTCTCAGCCGTTCCAGTGCTGGCACTGGTTGGCTCAACACCCTCTGTCACTGGCTCGGTATCTCCCTCATGCTAACCTGGCTGATTCCAGAGCCTGTGTTCCAGGCTTCCCAGCTCTTGGGTCATCTGCTCTCTGTAGGACTGTCCCAGCCTCCCGCCAACACCACAGCCAGACAGGGCTGGGAGGATGATGCCCAGCTTGTAGGTGGGGAAATGCCAGCCTGGTATTCCTCATCCAGAGTCCCCATGACCAACTTGGGGCCCAGGGACAAAGGCTGTGGGGGTTCTCTGTGCCAGGATCGGGTACAATGGTTGCAGACGGTCACAGCACAGCTCCAGGGCTCCAACTCCTACAGTGAAAGGACTGATTCAAGCCTGTCCCCGCCTTGCCCTTCTGTTAGGCAAGCACCTGCCTTCAAAGCCCGTGTCATCCACTCAAGCCCTGGCACCCCAGATGGTTCCACAGGTCCCGAGCCCCTAACACAGGCTACTGGAGCCGGGATGGGGTGTGTGGCTGGTGGTCCCTGGGGGAAATGGGCCTCTATGGTCCTGTGTGCCTCCAGCGAGGAAGGCCACCACAGAGACGGCTTCTATACTGATGGGGGACAGTGACAAGGCAGGGGCCACAGACCACTGTCCCTGGTACTAAGGCAGTGAGTGCAAACACCAGAAGAAGGAACTACAAGCTGCCTCTCCAGGGTAGGAATCTGAGCCGCTGGTGCTCCCTTCACAGGCTCTGCCCAACTGCTACCTCCGCCTCCTCAATCTGTCCCTGCCACAGGCCAGACCTCCCATCTCTGCCTAGACTGACCACAGCCACCAATCTGCTCCTGTCACACACTCACAGCCAGTTACTTGCTCACAACAGGACCAGAGGCGGCAGCACAGTGAGTCCTGACACTGTCTCCAGCCGAGGCTGCTCTGGGTGATGGCTGGGCAGGCAGCTGGCGGGCTCTGGGTGGCAGGAAGGGAAACGCTGCGGGGCAGTGCCAGGAAGCCCAGGCTGGTACTTACATTTGTGACCCCACTCCGGTTCCGCGCCACTGTCTGGGATTTCAGTGTTGTCTGCTCCACCCGCTTGCGGAGAGTCTCAAATTCATTCTGGGGGTCCAGGATGAGGAGGCAGGGGTACTCGGTGGCCATCTGGAAGAAGGATATGTCTGGGCACAACCTCCTGTCAAGAAGGAATGAGGGAGAATGCAGCCATGTAGGGTGGAGGCTGTAGTCCTCCTGCCTCCACCTGTCACCCCTGAGGCAGTTTCTGACTACTTTTAACTGTAATGTTTTATCTAAAAACCAATACAATTTTTAAAAAAATTAATAGTCACGCAACGTATTAATTATTGTAACTGTCCTACTAACCTGTTTTGAAACTATTTCATTGCTATTTTATCTTTTTCTCTCATTAAAATGAATAAATTAAAAAAAAAAAAATGAAACAGTCACTGAGCACAGTGACACACACCTCTAATCCCAGAGACACTGAGGCAGAAAAAACACTGAGTTTGAAGCCAGCCTGGGCTACATAGCAAGACTCCCATCTCCAAAAAATCAAACAAAAGAGGAACAGTTGAGAGCCGGCAAGCTAGCCCAGCAGACTAAGCACCTGCTTAGGCAAGTGCAGGGACTGGGTTCAATTCCCAGCATCGCATGCTGCACTGGCCCTGCCCCAGGCATGCTGAGCCGGCCACCAAGACTGGGCGTGGTGGTGCACACCTATAATCCCAGAGCTGGGGGGGAGGCCGAAAACAGGAGGACCACCACAAGTCCAAGCTGTGTAGTGAGATCCTGTAGCAAATACATTCATTTAATTAATTTATTTATTACGCAGAACTGGGGATTGAACTCAGACCCTTGCGTTTTATTCTACTGAGCCATCTCCTTGCCCCCCCCCTTTTCCCCCCAAATACATTTTTAAAAAATTATTTATTTATTTTGTGTGTGTGTGGCCAGCTCAGCCAACCAGGGGGCGGGGCTGGCTGGCATGTGGTGCTGGGGGATTGAACCGCGGTCCCCGTGCTTTGCTTGGCTTAGCTTGTTCTAAGTAGGTGCTTTAGACCACTGAGCCATCTCACCAGCCCTCCCCCAAATACATTTTAAAGAAGGAATGGTCGTGCTGGGGATGTGGCTCAGGGTTAGAGCTCTGGCTCTGCACACACAGATGCCTCGTTCAACCCCCAACACTACCAAAAAAAAAAAAAAAGAATGGTCACTGTTTTTGAAACACTCACCCTTCATACATGTTTATGACCAGATCCATACATGTACATGACAATAAAGTGTGTTCAGTCACACAACCTAACCATACTCTTGAACCTCAAACACCTCTCCATGCCACAGTATCTGTCTGAGGCTTGGGGTGCAGTCCGTGGCCCATGCTGGCCTAGCACGCCTGGGTTCCAGGGCTCACTCCCCAGGCCCCAAAAGTTAAGAGCAAAACCTACAGGTAAAAATGTAACTGTGGTACGGTTTGCAACAGTCGGTGAGACTAGGTTAAGCCCCACACTGCACACACTACACTACATCCCGAAGAAGCCAACTCGGGTGAGCGAGGAGCCAGCGGAAGCAGCCTCTAACTGGGGAAGACATGGAGCCGCATGCCCGTCTCCCAGACTCCTTATGCACAGCACCTCATCCACCTGCTCTCTGCCACCCTCACCACTGCAGGGCTGGACCGCGTCTCCAGCCCTTCCCCAGAGCCACCAAGGCACGAGGCTCTCAAACCCTGGCCACCCTGTGAACACAGAAGCGGGAGCCCCTTCCCTGGGGCTATGCCAACAGGGGCCCGGGCTGCAGAGTGGCCTGGGGGGTGGGACTCCTTCCTCTAGAGCCACTGCACCTCTTCCTTGGAGCCGCACATCATGCCCACCTCTAATACAGAGGCCCTCCCTTCCTCTGGGAGCACATACTTGCCACGTGTGCCTGAGCGCGCACAGCGAGGGCACCTGACCTTCCTGCGGCCGAGACACTTCCCATCCACTCACTCCTGGCCCTGCTCACAGCACCCAACGGTTCTATAAGAAGCAGCTACGTGGTGCCTCACCTGGCCAGGGGCAGACAGAATCCCCTGGGGACCCAGTAAGGGTCCCTGGAAATGCGTGTGGGCTGGAATACACGGTGTGGGACAGGGACTGTCTGGCCAAAGTCAGTGTGTCACACAAGGACGTGGCGGGTACCCTAGAGAAGAGGAGGCACTCCCAGGAGCCCACGCTCATGGTGACTGGGCATAGGAGGGGCTCCTCTGCACGGTGCTCGGACCAGCACGTCCTTCCGGTCCTTCACCTGTGACAATCTGGGCCTCCTTAGCCTGCACCTTCTTACTCCTGTGTCACAGGTAGTCAGATCAGAGAGCAGCAGTCACCTGCCTGAGGTCACACAGCAAATACTGGTCCAGCCATACTGGAGAGCTATGAACAGACCCCAGAGCTCTTGGTCACCCTGCTGCCCTGCGGACAAAAACATCCTGGGAGCAACCACATGCTAGAGCCCCACATGTGCAAAGCAGCTTCCCGTTTGTTTCTCCCTCATTCACCCTAAAATACTACATGCCTGACCTGTCACTCCTCTGCCTGAAACCTGTGCATGGCTTGGCCAGGCAGCACTGCCTGCTCCCCAAGGCAGGGCACCTCCTTGCACCCCTCGGAAACACCAGCTGCACAAGGGTCTCTGAGGGCCACTTGGCCTGGCAACTGCCTCTCCAGTAGAAGAGCTGCGTCTGTCTCTCCAGGCCAGCCCTGAGCCTCCTCAGCCCCCGTGGGGAGAGCTGTGCCCCCAGCAGTCTGACGAGCCACGCAGGCCTGGGCAGTGGCTCCAGCGAAGGGCGGGTGCCCCAAGTGCAGGGCCAGACCCCTCCCCAGGGCCCTGGGAAAGCCCTGAAGGCTGCGGGAAGCACCAGCCCCTGCCAGCCTCTTACCGGACATCCTTGTCGATCTGCAGCAGCACCTCATTGTCCTTGAAGTACGTGTTCCATCGGCTGTCAGGACTGGGGTTGAGCGGCTAAGGGGAGAAGAGCAGCTGCTTGGCACAGACTACTTTTTCTTTAGTTCTTTTTTGTTTGTTTGAGATAGGGTCTCATCGTGTAGTCCAGGCCGCAGTGAACTCCCTATGCAGCCCGGGCTGACCTCAAATTTGCAATGGTCTTCCTGCCTCAGCCTCCCAAGCACCAGGCTCACAGGCTTGCACCACCTCCGCAGGCTGGCACAGACCACTCTTCGACCACCCCAGCCCCACCAGCTCTGGCTCCAGAACTCTGCAAAGAGCAGGTGCTCACTAAATGCCAGCTGCACAGATGTGAGCAAATGGACGCACTATCATTTCACTCCAGACCTCATTCGTTGCGCTGTGGGCTGCTAACCCTAATCCCCCAGAAGGGGCGCTTCAGGCAGCATCTGGAGGAGCTCAGATACAGGGGACAGGACAGGGCTTGCTTCAAGCCAGACAAGCAGTTTAGCCTTCCTCCTGCCCACCCGAACTCTCCAATGTACGACTGGAGTCTCTGCCATGAGAAACAGGGCCAAGGTCCCATGTTCCACAGACCAGACCAAGGTGACGCCATGCAGCACGAAGGCGCTGGCAGGGTCAGAGAGGATGGAAACCTGGCGGTCCTGCACTGTTCACTCACATGGTCCTCAAAGGTCACATCCTCCCTGGATGCGCCCATGTTGGCCTTGGCGATGCCAGGCTGGATAATCATCTCCCTCAGGAACTGGGCATAGAGCTCCCTGTGGGACACACGAGGAGAAAGGGTGACGCCCAAGGCCAGGCCCAGAGAAGCAGCAGCAGGAGCAGGGCCCTCCCGTCCCAGCAGTCTCACCTCTGTTTGGCCAGGATGGATGTCCACGAGGCTCTCTCCAAGGGTAGGTAGTTCAAGAGGATCTGCACAGAGGACAGCAGCATGGCTCTGGCACTGGCCTGCCCCTGCAGGGCCCGAAGGAGGCCTCCAGAAGCCCAGGGCAGGCCAGATGCCTGAGGCCCAGGTCACAGCCACCGCGGGGGCAGTCCCCCTCCCCTCGCCTTCATCCCTGACCAGCCCTTGCTCTGCTTTCCCTCATGGACTCTTACTGATGATAGGAGTGGGCACTCAAGGGGCTGGGCACCAGGTTGGCACCAGCTGCCCTGCTCAGAGCTTCACACGGAACAGCCTGAGTTTTGTGCAGGGGGCCCCCAGTCTGCCCTCTGGGTGCAGCAGGAAGTGGACATCTGCACTGGCCATATATGACGTCCCAGCCCTAAAGGCATCTCGGAGGGGACTACGACAGGACAGAACAGAAAACCCAGAGCTTCCCAGGACAGCTTCCTCAGACAAGCAAAGGCTGGAGCTGAGCAGGAGGAAGGACCGCAGCCAGGCAGCCATGGGGGATCCCGGAGCCCGAGAGCGCGGAGCCCACCCAGGCGCACCCACCTTCCAGCAGAGGCACCGAAGTCCACCCTCACAGGGGATGCCTGTGGACACAGCAGGCAAAAGTCACCCCGGCGCAGGCCCAGCACCCCCAGCCCTCCACCTGGAGCCAGTTGGCAAGGAGTGGTGTGGGCACAAAGTACTTTAAGAATCATTTTCCACCAGTGATGGCTAAACTGGATGCTAATCCTGGGTGTAATTCCTGCCCCTGGTCCCAGCCCCCATCCTCAAACCCTGAACCTCCTTTGTTTGGAATGTTTGAGGGTTTTTTTGTTTGTTTTGGGTTTTTTTGGTGAAACTTGAATGCAGGCCCCTGCGCTTGCCAAGGAAGCGCTTATTCCACTGACCCATCTCCCTTGCCCCTTGAGTTTGTTTTGTCTTTTTGAAACAGGGTCTTGCTACATAGTTCAGGCTGGCCTTGAATTCACTGGGTAGCCCACACTGTCCTCAACCCCCAAGACACTCTTGCCTCAGCCTCCCAGTGCTGTAATTACAGGTGCGTGCCACCATACTTGGCTACAGAATGTTCTTCCGAGGAGCACACCTTCTCCTGACGCTCGGGGCCCGACTACCATCCACAAGCTCTGCCCAACCTAGATCAGGTTCCCATCTGCAAACAAAACATCTCTGGGACTTCTCAGCGCCCTCACAACTTGAATTACATAATCTGTGTATGAATTTGATGCGTGTAACTGGTGTGACTGGGCTAGCCCCAGGGGGACAAGCCCTACATCTGCCTGTCATTTCCAGGGCGTAGCACAGGGCACGGCATCCAGAAAGAATTCTGTTAGGGCCTGAGAAATATAAACTAAGCTCTGAGGCTAACCGCTTTGCATTTTACAGATGTTACTTCACTGACTCCTCGAGATAGCCTCATAAGCAAGAAAAACAAACATCATCGCCTGCAATTTATAGATTGGGAAACTGATCTATAAAAACACAGTTTCAGGGATTTAAATATGTATCTGGGGCCAGGGAAATGGCTCAGTGGAATAAGCGCTTCCCTGGCAAGCGCAAGGGCCTGAGTTCAATCCCCGTTTAAAAAAAAAAAAAAAAAATTGTATCTGCCAGACAATCCTAACTTTTTTTTTTTCTCCTAGGGGGGAAAAAAAGTATTGGGAATCAAACTCAGTGGTGCTCTAGCGTTCAGCTACAACCCTAGCCCTACTTATTTTTTCATTCGGAGACAGGATCTTGCTAAATTGCCCAGGTGGGATTCGAATCTGTGATCCTCCTGCCCCGGCCACCCTCAGTGCAGGGAGTAGGCCACTGTGCCCAGCTCCTTCACCACTAACCACACACTGCTTCTCTTTTGCGACTTAAATATTACTCTAGAACAAGAAGGGGAATGTCTCCTGCGAAACTCCAAGAAACTCACAACAACAGCTGTTGTGACAGTTTCCCCGGTACCTCGAACACAAGCTACTGCCCCCCCCCGCCCCCCAATCTGCATGGGGACAGTGGGTTCTACTTCAACTCCTTCCTGACAAAGACACAAGGGCAGGGCAGTGACAAGGAGCTACACAAACACTGCAGACAAAACAAATACCTTAAAGACTGACAAAAAGGTTATCTCCATTCCGGCACAAGATTAACCATGGCAAGGAGGGCAAAGTCCAGCAAGGCCAAGGTTCAGCTCCTTAAAGTCAGAATTCCAAGGCCAGGATTTGACCATTAACCAGAGTATCACTAGCATCATAAGGCAACTGAGAAATGAGGAAAGGCTTGACCCAAACGCAAAGCTTTCCCATTCTTGGGCCAAGCGTGGTCGGGCAAACCTGTGATACCAGCACCCCGCTAGTGACTCGGGCAGGAGGATCGCTGTGTGTTCAAGGCCAGCCTGAACTATGTGATGAGATTCTGTCTCAAAAACACCAAACAACAGTTCAGGAACCTCACACCTCCTCCCTGTCCAAGGCCTAACTGTGGCCTCCGCTCCCCCAGGAAACTCCTCTGAGATAAAGACAGCTCTATTCCATCTGCAGCAGGCTCCAAGTGCCACCCTGGCGCCCAGAGCAAACCAGATGATGTGGCCCTGGGCACCTTCCCCTTCCTGTAGTTCTAGGGTAACCTTCCGAGCGCAGAGTTGCTGCTTACCACTGAAGCTGAGTTCCCGCAGCTTCTGCAAGGCGATCGAGGGCTCTTTCAGGACATCCTGGAAATCTGCGATCCTAGAAGTGATAGGGGGCAAATGAAGCCCACCCAACCCCAAGACAAGCAAGCCTGAAGCCTACTGCTCCTTCACACCAGCAGTCTCCAACCCGAAGCTGTAGTGAAGCAGAGAACCATGGACGGGCATTTCTTCCTCTAAGCCCAGGGACATCGGGGGCCACAGGAGGCATACTGTTGTCTAGAGGTTCTCAAATGCGAACCATAAAATGAAGCATCTTCTAACAGTGAGCTGGCATTTTACTGGCACCTTCGTGCTGGCCTGCGGCGGCCCATAGCCTCAGCACTCCCCGCATTCAACCACTTCTAGGAGCCAGGGGTAACCTGACCTGCAGCCTTTGCATCTGTACAATTTGGCAGCTGTGCTCTTGGCTCATTAAAGTCTCTCTGGGACTGCCCTCAAGCAAGGACAAAAGGCTGAAAAAAAAATAATAGTAAGTCCTGGAGGGAAACCGAGGAGTAAGCAAAATTTCGCCGATGCTGCAGGCTGCAGCCTGGGGGAAGAGGGCAGACTGCTTAATCCAGGCTCTCTAGCGTTTCTAGGAAGAAAAGGATCCAGGGGCTGCGGCGCATTTGGAGAGGAGGGCTTGGGGCGAGGGGGTTAAAAGGGGAAGGGATGGGGAGCATCGAGGTCTGATGAGGAAGGCCCGAGGGTAAGGGGTCCAGGGTGAAGCAGACAGAAGGTGCCCCAGGGGGAGAGAGGCGGCCCCCCTCCGGCCAGCAGGCGAGGAGGTTAAAAAGTGGGAGCCCGAGGCCCGGCCGCGCCCGCGCGAACCCGCTCCGCCAGGGAGAAGGGGCGCCAGGCTGGAGCGCCCCGAGGGCCCTTACCGGCTCTTGTGCAGACTCGACATGGTGTTGACTTCCGGGGCCCCCCAGTTGCCACCGCAGCCTTCGCCGCCGCCACCGCCGCCCCCCAGGGAAGCGGGGCGCTTGGCAAGAGCCTCCGACCGGAAACCAAACCCGGAACCTAGCGTTCCGGACCCAGCAGGGGGTGCTGGCCCTGTCCAGCCGTTCACGTGCTCGCCTGACCCGGCGTCGCTGGGGGGAGGGGAGGGGGCGGGGCAAGACGGCGACCGCAGCGTGGGCCCCGCCCCTCGGGTCGAGCCTGAGCCCAGCGGGCCCCTGCACGAGCGGCATCCTTGCGCTATGCCCTGCGCTTTCGTGCACCAGGTTTCCTTCTGCGCAATATGTGGGGCGGCCTGTCCGCGCCCTTTCATCTACCCCCCCTGTAATAACGACTGTATGACTTACGTAAACGTGTGCGTCTTCTGCTGAAATGTACAGGCCCTGATTCTTTTTGTTTTTTTTTTTTTGAAATGTAGTCTGGCTACACAGTCCAGATGGACCATGAATTCTGGGTGATGGTCTTGAGTTACACGTATGCACCACAATTCCCCTCCAATGTGCTGTTCCATACCGAGTCCCTCAGACCTACTATATTGGTGACCCTCACAGGCCCTGTAGCTCAGTAAGTGCTGGATAGAGGAACAGGGCTGGGTTTTACTGTAGCTTTGACTTTTGGATTGCATAAAAAAAATAGAATATCTGGTGCCTGAGAGATAGCTCAGTAGAATAAGAGCTTGTCTGGCAAGCTCAAGGGCCTGAGTTCAATCCCTGGTTCCGCCAAAAAAAAAA